TTTATTTTTCGATTTCTCGACTCTTCAATTCTTAGATTTTTCAGTTTTTCGATTACATTATCAATTTTTCGATTCCTCAATTTCTGGACTTTTCACTATTTCGGTTCTTCAATTTTTCAATTTCTGGATTTTTTACTTTTTCGATATTTTTCGAGATGTCCATGTTTCGAACAATTAAAAGTCCACTTTCTCGACTTTTTTATTTTTAACTTTTCGATTTTACTATTTTGGCCCACTTCGATTTCTCAATTTTCCAATTTTTCCACTTCTCGATTTCTCTGTATGGTGTGTCGATTTCTTGATGTTTCAGTTTCTGTATTTTTCGAGTTTTCAATTTTTTAGTTTGTCGAATCTCTAAATTTTTGATTTTTCAGTTTTCCAATTTTTTAAATCTCATATTTTTCGTTTTCAGAGTTTTTTGATGCTTTGATTTCTTGGCATCTCGCTCTGGAAAGTTTTCAATTTTTCGATTTTTTAATTTTTGGATAAGTATTTTAGTTTTTCCATTTTTTGTTGTTTCGATGTTTCGACTTTTCGAATTTCGATTTTTCAGTTTTTCAATTTCTCAGTTTCTCGATTAATTGATTTTTGATTACCCATTTTTGTATTTCTTCACTTTTCGATTTTTCAGTTTTTCAATTATTCAATTTTTCGCTTTTTCAATTTTTCGATTTTTAGGTTTTTCCCCACAAAAATTTACCATTTTAAAATGTTTCAAGTTTATTGTTATGAAAGAAGACTACACATAATAGGATTAATGGGAAAAATGTTAGCCCCGCCCACCCACCCTGTCTCAATTGTGATGATTTGTTTTATTCGTCTTGAGTCAAGGTCAGTTTACCTTTTTTCCCTAATATGTGTAGTCTTTTTTTGACAACAACAAATTTGCAACATGTTTGTAGGGAAATACCGATTTTGCAGTTACGCTCCGCCCCTCAGTCTGCCAACGAATGAAAAATTCATCAGTACTGAAATCGAGACGGATGGGTGGAGCTTTGGCTTTTTTTTATTTAATACTTTCAGTTTTCTTTGAATAACACGACACTCAAAAACATGTTTTTAATTTCTTGCAGACAAATTAGAATTTTGCAGTTACGATCCGCCCCCTTAGCTCACGACGAATACAACAAATCATCACAATTGAGACAGGGCGGGTGGGCGGGGGTTACATTTTCCCCTTTTTCCTAATATGTGTAATCTTCTTTTGACAACAAGAAACTTGAACCATTAAATTTTTGTAGGGAAATACCGATTTTGCAATTAAGCCCTGCCCCTCAGTCTGACACTTAATCACGACTCAATTTAAGACGGATGGGTGGAGCTTATCCATGGCTTTCTTTTCACTTAATACATTTAGTTTTCTTTCAACAACACGATACTCAAAAACATGTTTTTAATTTCTTGCATAGAAACAAGGATTTTGCAGTTACGATCCGCCCTCTTAGCTCATGACGAATACAACAATTCATCACAATTGAGACAGGGTGGGTGGGCGGGGCTTACATTTTTCCCCCTTTCCTGAAATGTGTAGTTTTTTTTTGACTACAAGAAACTTGAAACATTAAATTTTTGTTGAGAAATAACGATTTTGCAATTAAGCCCTGCCCCTCAGTCTGACACTTAAACACGACTCAATTTAAGACGGATGGGTGGGGCTTATCCATGGCTTTCTTTTCACTTAATACATTTAGTTTTCTTTCAACAACACGATACTCAAGAACATGTTTTTAATTTCTTGCAGAGAAACAAGGATTTTGCAGTTACGATCCGCCCTCTTAGCTCATGACGAATACAACAAATCATCACATCTGAGACAGGGTGGGTGGGCGGGGCTTACATTTTTCCCTGTTTTTTTCAATATGTGCAGTCTTCTTTTGACAACAAAAAACCTAAAACATGTTTAAAATAGTAAAGTTTTCTAAGGAAATACCAATTTTGCAGTTACGCCCCGCCCCTTAGTGTAAGAAATTCATCGTCGTGAGATCGAGACGGATGGGTGGAGCTTATCTTTGGCTTTGTTTTTACTCAATACATTGAATTTTCTTTGAATAACACGATACTCAAAAACATGTTTTTAAATCATTATCGAGAAATAAGGATTTGGCAATTACGATCCGCCCCCTTGCGGATAAAAAAAATCATCACAATTGAGATATGGCTGGTGGGCGGGGCCTACATTTTGTCTTTTTTTTTCTAATATGTGTAGTCATCTTTTTACAACAAGAAACTTGAAACATGTTTAAAATGGTAAATTTTTGTACGAAAATACCGATTTTGCCCCTCAGTCTGAAAACGAATGAAAAATTAATCACGGCTGAGATTGAAACGGATAGGTGGAGCTTAATTTTGGTTTTCTTTTTACTTAATAGATTTAGTTTTTTAAGTTTCTTCTTACGAAAAGAAGACTACACATAATAGTAATAATGGGAAAAATTTAAGCCCCGCCCACCCGCCCTGTCTCAATTGTGATGATTTGTTGTATTCGTCGTGAGCCAAGAGGGCGAATCGTAACTGCAAAATTCTTATTTCTCTAGAAGAAATTAAAAACATGTTTTTGAGTATACTGTTGATCAAAAAATATATTATGCACATTAAGAAAAATAAAAAAAAAATTGATCAAGTTCATATTTTTTTATTTAATTTGAAGAAACGGAATACGTTTTCTGTACTCTTCCAGAATTAATTCCAAATTTATAAATATAAACTGCAAAATCCTTATTTCTCTATAAAAATTTAAACCATGTTTTTGAGCATTAAATGTATTAAATAAGAAGAAAGCCAAAGATATGCTCCACCCATCCGTCGTGATGAGTTTTTCATTCGTTGTCAGACTGAGGGGCGGTGCGTAATTGCAAAATCGGTATTTCCCTACAAGAATGTACCAGTTTAACTGTTTTCAGTTCGTTGTTGTGTAAAGAAGACTGCACATGTTAGGAAAAAAGGGAAAAATGTAAGCCCCGCCCACCCGCCCTAACTCAATTGTGATGATTTGTGGTATTCGTCGTGAGCTAAGGGGGCGGATTCTAACTGCAAAATCCTTATCGTGCCGTTCAAAGAAAACTAAATGTGCAAGCCAAAGATAAGCTCCACCCATCCGTCTTGATATCAGTCGTGATGAGTTTTTCATTCGTTGTTAGACTGAGAGGCGGGGCGTAATTGCAAAATCGGTATTTCCCTACAAGAATTTACCATTTTAATATGTTTTAAGTGTCTTGGTGTGAAAAGAAGACTACACATATTAGGAAAAAATAAGCAAAACGTAAGCCCCGCCCACCCATCCTTCCTCATTTGTGATGACTTGTTTTATTCGTCGTGAGTCAAGGGGGCGGATCGTAATTGCAAAATCCTTATTTTTCCACGAGAAATCAAAAACATGTTCTTGATTATCGTGTTTTTCAAAGAAAAGTAAATGTATTAAGTACAAAAATAGTCAAAGATATGCTTGTATTCGCTAAAATAGGACTGATTTTGGCAAATGATATACCCTCTAACAAAAGTAAGGGTGGGTGGGCGGGGCTAGTACTTGCTAAGATAAGACTGATTTTGCAAATGACAGATTATGCACATTAAGAAAAATTAAAGACAAAGAGAGTGGTCTAAAAATGCATAATTTTTTATTTAATTTGAAGAAACAAAATACGTTTTCTCTACTCGTCCAGAATTAATTCCAAATTTATAAATATAATTTCACATTCATAAAGAGCAATGTTATACTCATAATCCGAAAGCGGTGGATCGTTAATAAATAACAAAAGTAACAAGGGTCTGGACATTAACCCTTGTGCAACCCCATTAATAATTTCTACCTAAAAGGGAACGTTTAGTTTTTAATGTTTATTTACACACTTTTTAATAAATAGAAAAATAATTTCTTGTAGTGATTTTTATCACAGAAAATTAACCGAACCGGTGGAAACGTACTGCATCGATTAATCAGGTCTTCATTATGAAAAAGGTTAGTTTTAGTATGGATATGCGCCAAATAACCTTCGCGTTTCATTATCCATAATGAAAGCAAAGTTTGCTTTAATTAGGTATATAGTGGATTATGTAATTATAAAATTAGCTTCCAGGGACACTTTTATAAAAGTCTTTGATAAGTCACTGATGGAAGAATCCGGAGTTCGTCATTTTATTTTTATTATTAATGGAAATGTACTTTGTAGTGACTTAAAATTCAAGCGAAATGTTACTAGAGTAGAAATTAGGAAAATCACACCGTATTAATAATGGAAAGACGCACCTAACCCTTTTCTAACTGTATTAACAGTGAAGAGATCAAGGTTAATTAAGCTAAGATTAGTGGTAATTTGAAATGAGAAAAGTGTTTCTTGTGGCTTTTATTCTCCTATTGAACACTTTAGGTGTCGACCTTTTGCCCTAACTTTCTACATTAAGCCCCAGTTGCTAATAACCTTAAGTGTTAGCTGAAATCCTGTAACTGATAACTTTCTCGATTAACGTGATCCACACAAAAATTAACGAGCGGTTCGTGACAATAATTGTATATAGTTTTTTGAATCCCGGTATCACATTTATGTGGAAGCAAAATCTAGGAAGAAAATCTGAAGTTGAACTAATTTCCTCCCGCATCCCGAATCGCTACAATAATCAAAACCAATCATCCGAGCTTCCTCCTCTTAAACGCTTCCATTCACACTAAAGCGTCTCAAACGCAAACCTGTTAAATCAAACCACCTGCACAACGTCGCACATCCACAATTTAATAACGCTAATTAACCTAAAATAATAACAGAATTTACCCAGCGACTGTATTAAACATGTAAATGCAGCCTAAGCCTCTCTCGAACAACAATCGTCGCAACAAAAGTCAGCTCGAGTTAATAAGTGTGTAATAGAGTTGGTGGTCATTTACCGTTAAGCCCGATTTGCATAATTAACCACAGAAACGCAAACGTTAATGCAATAGTGCATAGTTGAACCGCAACCCACAATACACTTCGTGCTTACACTAATATTGAGTTATATTTTTTTTTCAGGTAACTAATAAAGCATAAGATGGCAAGATACTCCACAGCGATGAAATGTTTGTGCGCCGTCACTTGCATTATGATCATGGCAGCGACAGTGACTTCGGCAGCACCATCCTATGCAGATTACGACAGTAAGTTAATTATTTGTCTTGTTTTAGTCACGTGGAAAAAGCGGATGGGAGGGCCTGCTAATGAAATTGCTCAATATTTGCTGAACAGAAGGACGATTGTGCGGATGCAGTTTATGTAATTGGTTTTAAATGCGTTTGAAAGGTCAGACCAGACGACTGTCAACCAGTTATTTATATAACAAGTCTGCTAGAAGTGGAGGAACCCTACGCGCGAAATAGTACAACAAACAAATATATAATTAAATTCGTTATCTCGTAGCGATAAATTCCGAGATGAAAGCTTTAAACATTTCCCGCATTGTCGCTCAATTGTTTTCTTTGTGTGCTTTCCACGTGTGTTCTAAAGTTGCAGCGACGTAAAAAGCGTATTTAAGAGCGTCGACAGCGGCACAGTTGTGTGAAAAATCTTAGTTTTATGGAAAACATTGGTGATTACCCACGCTTCGCGTCCTGCAAATGAGCGGGTTACTTCCACTCCAAGAACTAACCCAATAACGAAGCGTGTGAATATGATGTTACGAACAAACTATTTCTGTCACGGCTGATCAATGCATTTTTATACGACCAAAAACGAAAGCGATTCGCTTGGTAATACTAAAACGGACGGTGTGATGGTGGAGGCGCCGGATAAATAAACAATCTCGGTGTTAACGTTTATTAGAAAAAAGAAAACATTGCTTTGTTTTGAGTTGGGTTGGTTTGTGGTCACGCCTATGTTATTTTGGTGGCAAGCTCTGTTTTCGAAATTCTGAATATAGACTAATTTAAGTAGTTAAATATACTCTGAAGAAATAAAATGTCACAACAATTTTAGCACTTAGGGGAGTTCATTCTGAAGGTCGGAAAGGTGCTGTCCCCTGGTGGTTGTTATTTGTAATTTAAGTGAATTAAAGTAAAAATGTTACTAAAATATTTTCTATAAATTATCAGAAAGTGACTTTAGAGTTCAGCTTTTTCTACCACAGTTTGCACTTTTATAAATCATTTTCAATATATTGTGGTTCCAAGACGACTGCGTACGAGTATATTCAGAAAAAACCAAATGTAAGCCCCGCCCACCCACCCTGTCTCAATTGTGACGATTTCTTTTATTCGTCTTGAGTCAAGGTCATTTTACCTTTTTTCCCTAATTGTGTAGTCGTCTTTTCACAATAAGAACTTAAAACGGTTCGAAATGGTAATTTTTTGTAGGGAAATACCGATTTTGCAATTATGCCCCGCCCCTCAGTCTGCCGACGAATGAAAAATTCATCAGTACTGAGATCGAGACGGATGGGTGGAGCTGTGGCTTTTTTTATTTAATACTTTTAGTTTTCTTTGAATAACACGATACTGAAAAACATGTATTTAATTTCTTGCAGAGAAACAAGGATTTTGCAGTTACGATCATCACAATTGAGACAGGGTGGGTGGGCGGGGCTTACATTTTTCACTTTTTTCCTAATATTGTTTTTCTTTTTACAACAAGAAACTTAAAACATGTTTAAAATAGTAAATTTTTGTAAGGAAATACCGATTTTGCAGTTACGGTATATAAATCCATAAATTCATTTAATTGTTTTTATTGTCAGTGAGCATGTCTCAATTTTTGGGGGAATTTAATAATCTACAACATATTTAATTTATTAATAATAATTTTAATATTAAAATTTTTAATCATACGTATTGTGATGAATTTTGCCTTAGTTGTCAGATCGAGGGGCGGAGCTTTATTGCAAAATCCATATTTGTCCATAAAAATTTACCATTTCAAGTTTCTTGTTATGAAATGATGACTACGTATATTAAGAAAAAAAAAGACAAAATATAGGCCCCACCCACCCACCGTATCTCAATTGTGATGAATTTTTCTTATTCGTCGTAAGCCGGAGGCGGAGCTTAAAGATTTATTTATTTCGAGGAATTACCATAATATGACACATGTTCTTACGAATTCTGTTGTTCAAATTAAATGTACTAATTATTAATTTACCATTTTCAAATATGTTTCCATTTTCTTGTTGTAAAAAGAAAACTACAGATATTAGAAAAACAAGACAAAACCTAAGCCCCGCCCACCCACCCTATCTCAATTGTGATGATTTATTTTATTGGTCGTGAAGCAAGGAGGCGTAAGATCGTAATTGCAAAATCCCTATTTCTCCACAATAAATAAAAAATATGTTTTTGTGTATCGTTTTCATAAGAGAAAACTAAATGTATTAAGTAAAATTTAAGACAAAATCTAAGCCCCACCCATGATTTATTTTATTCGCTATGAGCCAAGGGGGTGGAGCTTAATTGCAAAATCCTTATTTCTCTACAAGAAATTAAAAACATGGGTTTGAGTGTCGTGTTGTTCAAAGAAATCTAATTGTATTCAGTAAAAAAAAGTCAAAGGTAAGCTCCACCCACTTCTCGATCCCAGTAGTTCGAAATCCGCTTTTCCCTACAAAAATTTACCATTTCAAATATGTTTCAAGTTTCTTGTTGCAAAAAGAAGACTAATATCCGTTCGCAAAACTTCCGCACTGTCAGTGTCAGATTTGGAAAAAATGACCTGAGTGTACTGAGTGGTAAGATGCGAAAAACCTGTACAATATGTTGCAAAATTGCAATCTAGTGACAAATTAGTAACTAAAAATAACTTGTCAAATAAAAATGTCAAAAGCACATTAACTGAAGATTTTTATCAGTTCAAATAACGAAAGAGTATGACACACGAACGACAGCGAAGGCTTCTTTTGAATAATATATATTTTTGACCTTACTGTCCATTTCTACGCTTCTGGTGCTACAATTTGTTTGAATTACTGACAAGTTCTTTAAACACATTCAACACTTCAGCAACTCAAAAAGGTAAAATAGTTAATAAACATTTGATTTTTCAAATGCCAAATAGACATTAATTTTGAAACTTTTAAATTCAAGGCGGTAATCATATAAACTTAAAAATCTTTTAGGGGATTATTTCTCATACCAACAGAATGTCATTTTGACAGTGCGGGAGTTTTGCGAACGGATATTACAGATATTAGGAAATAAAAGACAAAATCTAAGCCCCGCCCACCCACCCTATCTCAATTGTGATGAATTTTTCTTATTCGTTGTAAGCCGGAGGCGGAGCTTAAAAATTTATTTATTTCGAGGAATTACCAAATGACAAATGTTCTTAAGAATTCTGCTGTTCAAATTAAATGTATTAAGTAAAAAGAAAGTCAAAGGTAAGCTCCACCCATCCGTCTCGATCTCAGTTGTTCAAAATCGGCTTTTCCCTACAAAAATTTACCATTTTCAAATGTGTTTTAAGTTTCTTGTTGTAAAAAGAAGACTACAGATATTAGAAAAAAAGACAAAATTTAAGCCCCGCCCACCCACCCTATCTCAATTCTGATGATTTATTTTATTGGTCGTGAAGCAAGGAGGCGTAAGATCATAATTGCAAAATCCCTATTTCTCCACAAGAAATAAAAAATAGGTTTTTGAGTATCGTTTTCATAAGAGAAAACTAAACGTATTAAGTAAAATTTAAGACAAAATCTAAGCCCCACCCACCCGCCCTATCTCAATTATGACGATTTATTTTATTCGCTGTGAGCCAAGGGGGTGGAGCTTAATTGCAAATTTCTTATTTCTCTACAAGAAATCAAAAACATGGGTTTGAGTGTAGTGTTGTTCAAAGAAATGTAATTGTGTTAAGTAAAAAGAAAGTCAAAGGTAAGCTCCACCCATCCATCTCGATCTCAGTAGTTCAAAATTCACTTTTCCCTACAAAAATTTACCATTTTAAATATGTTTCAAGTTTCTTGTTGTAAAAAGAAGACTACAAATATTAGAAAAAAAGACAATATCTAAGCCCCGCCCACCCGCCCTATCTCAATTGTGATGAATTTTTCTTATTCGTCGTAAGCCGAAGGCGGAGCTTAAAAATATATTTATTTCGAGGAATTACCAAATGACAAATGTTCTTAAGAATTCTGCTGTTCAAATTAAATGTATTAAGTAAAAAGAAAGTCAAAAGTAAGCTCCACCCATCCGTCTCGATCTCAGTAGTTCAAAATCGGCTTTTCCTTACAAAAATTTACCATTTTCAAATGTGTTTCAAGCTTTTGTTGTAAAAAGAAGACTACAGATATTAGAAAAAAAAAGACAAAATCTAAGCCCCGCCCACCCACCCTATCTCAATTGTGATGATTTATTTCATTGGTCGTGAAGCAAGGAGGCGTAAGATCGTAATTGCAAAATCCTTATTTCTCCACAAGAAATAAAAATTAGGTTTTTGAGTATCGTTTTTATAAAAGAAAACTAAATGTATTAACTATAATTTAAGACAAAATCTAAGCCCCACCCACCCGCCCTATCTCAATTGTGATGATTTATTTTATTCGCTGTGAGGGGGTGGAGCTTAATTGCAAAATCCTTTTTTCTCTACAAGAATTAAAAACATGGGTTTGAGTGTCGTGTTGTTCAAAGAAATCTAATTGTATTAAGTAAAAAGAAATTCAAAAGTAAGCTCCACCCATCCATCTCGATCTCAGTAGTTCAAAATCGGCTTTTCCCTACAAAAATTTACCATTTCAAATATTTTTCAAGTTTCTTGTTGTAAAAAGAAGATTACAGATATTAGAAAAAAAAAAAGACAAAATCTAAGCCCCGCCAACCTACCCTATCTCAATTGTGATGATTTATTTCATTGGTCGTGAAGCAAGGAGGCGTAAGATCGTAATTGCAAAATCTTTATTTCTCTACAAGAAATAACAAAATTAGCTTTTTGAGTATCGTTTTCATAAAAGAAAACTAAATGTATTAAGTAAATTTTAAAACTAAATCTAAGCCCCGCCCACCCGCCCTATCTCAATTGTGATGATTTGTTGTATCCGTCGTGAGCCAAGAGGGCGGATCGTAACTGCAAAATCGTTGTTTCTCTACAAAAAATTAAAACCATGTTTTTGAGTATCGTCTTATTCAAAGGAAATTAAGATTTATAGAAAGCGAAGTTAAAGTTAATTCGCGATTAACTTTTAATTGAGGTTCATCGCTAGGCAACGTGCAGGTTTTAACCAATCACGGGATCATATTCCACATTTTAATTCTCTGTTAAACTAATCGAGGATTAAATATTTAACTCGCTGTTCTATAAACCGGCCCTTAATGTGCTAAATAAGAAGGAAGCCAAAGATAAGCTCCACCCATCCGTCTCTATCTTAGTCAAGATGACTTTTTCATTCGTTGTCAAACTTTGAGGCGGGGCGTAATTGCAAAATCGGTATTTCCCTAAAAAATTTACTATTTTAAACATGTTTAAAGTTTCTTGTTATGAAAAGAAGACTTAGACATATTAGAAAAAAACATTGAAAAACGTAAGCCCCACCCACCTGCCCTATCACAATTGTGATGAATTATTTGATTCGTCGTGAGCCAAGGGGGTGGATCGTAATTGCAAAATCGTTATTTCTCTGAGGGAAATTAAAAACTCTTGAGTATCGTGTTTTTCAAAGAAAATTAAATGTATTAAGTAAAAAGAAAGCCAAATATAAGCTAGTACTTGCTAAAATAGGACTGATTTTGTAAATGAAATACCCTCTAACAAAAATGAGGGTGGATGGGCGGGGCTAATACTTGCTAAGATAAGACTGATTTTGGCAGATGACATGTTTTACTTTTCTTGTTATGAAAAGAAGACTTAGACATATTAGAAAAAAAAAACAAGGAAAAACGTAAGCCCCGCCCACCCGCCCTATCTCAGTTGTGATGTTTTATTTTATTCGTTATGAGCCAAGGGGGCAGATCGTAATTGCAAAATCCTTATTTCTGTTCAAGAATTTATAAACATGTTTTTGAACATCGCGTTGTTCAAAGAAACTAAATGTATTAAGTAAATAGAAAGTCTAATATAAGTTCCTCCCATCCATCTCTATCTTAGTCGTGATGAATTTTTATTCGTCAAACTTTGAGGCGGGGCGTAATTGCAAAATCGGTATTTCCTCACAAAATTTTACCATTTTAAACATGTTTCAAGTAAAACTCTTGAGTATCGTGTTTTTCAAAAAAAACTAAATGTACTTATTAAGTAAAAAAAAAGCCAAAAATAAGCTAATTATTGCTAAAATAGGACTGACTTTGCCAAATGAAATACCCTCTAACAAAAGTGAGGGTGGGTGGGCGGGGCTAGTATTTGCTAAGAAAAGACTGATTTTGGCAGATGACATACCCGTTAAAAAACAGAGGGCGGGTGGGCGGGGCTAGAATTTGGTAAGATAAGATTGATTTTGGCGAATGACATGTTTTAAGTTTCTTGTTGTGAAAAGAAGACCACATATTAAGAAAAAAAGGAAAAATGTAAGCCCCACCCTATACCTCAATTGTGATGATTTGTTGTATTCGTCGTGAGTCAAGGGGGCGGATCGTAATTGAAAAATCCTCATTTCACTACAAGAAATTAAAAACATGTTTCTGAGTATCTTGTTATTCAAAGAAAATTAAATGTGTAGAAAGAAAGTTAAAAATAAGCTCCACCCATCCGCGTCGATGTCAGTCGTGACGAATTTTCCATTCGTTGTCAGACTGAGAGGCGGGGCGTAATTGCAAAATCGGTATTTTCTTGCAAAATTATTAGGCAAAAAGGCAAAATGTAAGCGGACATAAAATGGTTTGTGTGAGCATACTGACATGATAATAACTCTACGGTCAACGAAATTTCCTTCAGGTCTGTAATTTTTCTAAGTATTTTCTTTACGTGGTGGACATAAACAACATTAATTATTACTCTACTTGAGTCAATTGGGTTTAAATAATTTCGGCTGTAATGTGATGTTTACTTCGATTTATTGATGCGCTAATAACCTTAAAAAGACTTTCTGAATTATTATCATAGTGAGCACTCAACACGTGCCGCTGCCTACGTTGAGGAAAATGTCATGACCCTGTCCAGTAGGAACTATTAGCAAATTGTGTAACTAAGCCTACAAAATTTCGTTTTTCTGAAGACTTTTTCCACGATTTCATAATCCTTGAAAAACCATTTAGTTAAAAAAAGCTCTCACGTTTTTACATTTTTGCATTAGTTAATTGTCGTTTCACAATAGTTTCATAAAGTCAAAGTTGATTGTTAATTAATTTAGCCGTAATAATAGCCTCAAACCCAGTCACCACGTAAAAAAGCAATCGCTTTCAGCTTATTTCACGATAACTTTAAAACAATTCCGTTTAACGCCCACTTAAACTCATCAGTTTCGTGAAACGCTCAATACACAATCGACAAGAAATTGCGCCATTTAAACATGTCCCAGGTAATTCTCAAGCTGGCGAAAGTTTGATGGATTAAAACGTCTCAGCCTCCGGAGGGAGCCTCTTCCTACTGCACGTCAAAAATGGATTCGGGAGTTATCCCTTGGGTAAACAATAAGTACTCGGGCTCGAAAGGAATTTAAGTCAAATGGATTTCAATTATTGAAATTTATACAGACGAGGGAGGTTGGTTTTAACACGGTTTCTACTGTTGCAGATAATATAAGGGATTTATTGGACATATTCCTCCAGAAGGAAGCCCTTGAAGATAAATACGGGCCAGTGCACCAGTTGGTCAGGAAATCGAGCCGGTCACCCTCTTTGAGACTCCGATTCGGGAGAAGGTCCGACCCTAGTATGACACCCGTAAGTAGTGATACACCCTGTATAACCGGTTTGGTAAATCACTCAAGAACAGACGCCAACTTTCACTTTCACCCTAATTATTAAAAAGTAATTTAATTTAAGTTAAATAAACTTTCTTCAACAACAAACGTTCCTCATGTGGCTGAAATTTCAAATAATAGAAGCACGAATACTTTGAAACAACAATGTCATAATTTTTAAGACAAACTTCGCGAAACGAAAGCCATATTTTGGAACCCTTTGTTCGTTTTATTCAAACAGCACGATTATGTCTTTGATGTAAACGTGAAGATAAGTAAGCACTTCGTGCTAATAAATAACGAAGTATCTGAAAATTAATTAGTGTTTAAAAAACGTCGTGTTTGTGAGTGTTTTTGGATTTAATTGTAACGTTGGCACGCATGCACGTTCTAATTAGTTCATGATCTCATTATTGTCATTACAGGAGGCGGCGTTCATGATGGCCCAAGCAGTCGACCATGAAAACAATTAATTATCCTAATTCGCTACGTTGAATGCCACTGATACCCATACTGACGTAGGTCCTTCTAGTATCGACAAAGTCATCCTTTCGAGTATTTTTTTAATTGCCGTTAAACGCAGTGTATAGAGTATGTGTCACCCGACATTGTTTTCTAAGTGTGATATAATTCATTCCAAATTTATAATCAAAAAATTAGTATCTATGTATATTTTGTCCGGTACTTGGTTAGGCGAGTACCTAATTTAATAATTAAAAGAACTGTATCGCACCTGTCACACTCGCATGCTATGTACAAGCTGTTGGTCATTTGTGTAAATTTCTGCAAGGAAATAAATGAATTTTGTGATGTATGTTGCGTTTTCTTTAATAGATTTAGCGAGTGAATGAAGACTAACAAGCACATGGAGCCGATTTAACTTGTTGCAATCATTTACCGACGTGAGTCGATGCAGATGCCAACGGGATAAATTGTGCCCGGATCAACAACTGAGCCTTATTACGTCGGAGGAGATTCAATTTCGTAATTTACAACGAAAGCTTGAATTTTTTTTAATATGTGAAACGAGACTCTGAAAGCCGAAGTTGAAAAAAGTTCGTGGAAAGAGGGGCTTCCGGGAGCTAATAATTCGATCTATAAATTAGAGCAAGATGGAGTTCATTAAAAGATTCTTCAAGAAAAGGAACGCTAATTTGCTGAAGCTACAAAGAATTTCTATTATTATAGGCACGTGGGAAGTGAAAGGGCACTGGTTAAATACGTATTTAGGTACCCATATACACGTGTTTCTAATTACTGAAAGTGATTGATTATATATATCTTGGAAAAGTATACGGACGATTTTTTCCAACTATTGGGAAACGAATTAGATATAAAGGTGAAAGAAGGGTAAATCATATTTATAGAATATCATAAATTGTCAGAAACATGATAGCATCAGTCTTGCAAAAATAATTATAGGAAGTTTGCAAATTTCATCCTTAATTAAAAGCTTTCGTTTTATAAAAAACAAAACCCATAAAAACAAAGTTCTTTTTTAGATAAAACTACAACGTATTTTGCTTCTAAAGATAACTGATATGGTATTAGAGACAAGGTTTTGTCATTAAGAAATATTTAATGTACTTACTGTGTGGTAAAAAAAAAACACATTTACTTAAAACTACTCCTAATAGATCTAAATCGTATGTCTCTCGTTAGTCTCGCTCTTGATAAGAAAACCTAGAATTTGTACGATGCAAGTGGGTGAAGAAAGTTGGATTATTCCAGAAGTTCTCGCCAACAATTCAAACTAAGAAGTTGCAACAGTTCGGAGTAGTTAATGGCTTCACTAAACTGTTTAAAAACAACAAGTAGATCGTTTCTTAATAGCCAATTTTCAAGGTAGCTAGAGATAAACGAAAAACGAATTTTTCGACTCCCCAGAACTATTTAGTTAAAATAAAAGACGTTCAATATTCTTGCCGAGTACTACTTAGGAAATAAGGATTAAAATTTAATATAAGTCTACTACAAGTATTTTAAACCTTAACAATGTTTAGAGTAAAACTTGACGAAAATAACATAAAGCTCATTCATCACTAAAGTTTTATCACAGTTTCCACCCCAGAAAAGGAATTCTTCGTGTTATTAAGTTTGAGGAAATGAGAATGCAAAGTTTTTATTAAATTATTGCATACTTTCAATTTATCTTATTTGTGTGAAAGCAGAGTAGGCATTTAATTTTTCAAACGCTGCGAAACCCAAAATAAAATATTTATTTTGTATTGCCGATAAGGGTTTTTGCCTGGTTGTTCGGTCTGCATCATATGCATGTTATGCATTTTGATGTTTTACTGGTTGCCTACAAATAAACCAGTGAAGAAGCAAAGAGCGATCAATGGACTGGTCAAAGGTGTTTGCTTGGTTAGGTAATGTAATACCATTGTTTAAGTATATTATAGTTGGACAACCTATATGGACAATCACTTTCCCATGTAGAAAAGAATGAACATATATTTTACATCTCACTCGCTTCACTATGAAGTGGCGGTACCTTACGAAAGGGAGTAAAAATAGTCTGTAAGCACGTGATGTTGATAAGGTGGTAAACGACAATCGAAAATTTAAAAATTCCGAAAATTGAAAAATTGAAATATAGAAGAACTGAAAACTCAAAACATCGAAAAAAAACTAATAATTTAAAAATTGAAAAGTCAAAATTGAGAAATCGAAAAACTGAAAAATCACAAAATTGAACGAAATATCCAAAAATTGGGAAATTAAAAAATTGAGAAACAGAAAAGTCAAAAAAGCAGAGTCGAAAAATCGCAAACTTAAAAAATCGAAAAATTGAAAAATCAAAAACCTGAATAATCGAAAAATTGAAGAACTGAAGAACTGAAAAATCGAAACTTTGGGAAATGGAGAAATGGGTGTATAAAAAATAAGATAATGGAGAAATCCGAAAACTAAAAAATTCGAAAATATAAAATTTAAAAATCGAAAAAGTGAAAAATCAACGAATCGAGAAGTCGAAAATTGAAAAAATTGGAAAATTGAAAAATCGGATAAATCAAAAAGCGAAACATCGAAAAATCGAGAAACCGAAAAGCAAAAAATCGAAAAACCAACAAATCGAAACATCGTAAAATTCAAAAATTGAGACATCGAGAAATCGAAAAAAAATCTAGGAGTGGAAAAATTGAAAAATTGGGAAACCGAACAATCAAAAGATCGAAACATCCGAATCTCAACAAATTGAGATCTCAAAAAATTTAAAAATTCGGAAATTTGAAAAATTAAAATATAGAACTGGAAACTCGGGAAACCGAAAAATCCAGAAATTTAAAAATTAAAATATGGAAAAGTTGAAAAATTGAGAAATTGAAATATAAAACAATCGAAAGTATAAAAAATGAAAAACTGAAAATCCAAAAATAAAAAATCGAAAATTTAGAAGTCGAAAAATCAAAGAATCGAAGTATTGAAAAGTATCAAAACTGAAAGAAAATCCAAAAATTGAGAAATCGAAAAACCAATAAAGCGAAGTCGAAAAATCGAAGAATTGAAGAACTGAAAAATCGAGAGAAGTGGGAAAATCAGAAATAGAAAAAGTTAAATACTGAAGAACTGAAAAGTCAAAAAATCGAGAAATCGAAAAATCTAAAATTTAAAACATTGAAAAGTTAAAATATCCTAAAACTGAAAAATGGAGACATCCAAACATCAAAAAATCAAAAAAATAAAAATTCGAAAATCTAAAATTTAAAAATCGAAAAACTGAAAAATCAACGAATCGAGAAGTCGAAAATTTAAAAAATTGGAAAATTGAAAAAGCGGATAAATCAAAAATCGAAGCATCGAAAAATCGAGAAACCGAATAGCAAAAAATCGAAAAACCAACAAATCGAAAAATCGAAACATCGTAAAATTCAAAAATTGAGACATCGAGAAATCGAAAAATCAAAAGACCAAAAAATCTAAGAGTGGAAAAATCGAAAAATTGGGAAACCGAAATAGGCCAAATATATGGAAAAATTGATAAAGCGAGAAATTGAATAATCAAAACATCGAAACATCCGAATCTCAATAAATTGAGATCTCAAAAAATTTAAAAATTCGGAAATTTGAAAAATTAAAATATAGAACTGGAAACTCGAGAAACCGAAAAATCTAGAAATTTAACAATTAAAATAAGGAAAAGTTGAAAAATTGAAAAATCGAAAGTATAAAAAATGAAAAACTGAAAATCCAAAAATAAAAAATCAAAAATCTAGAAGTCGAAAAATCAAAGAATTGAAGAACTGAAAAATCGAGAGAAGTGGGAAAATCAAATATAGAAAAATTTAAATACTGAAGAACTGAAAAGTCAAAAAATCGAGAAATCGAAAAATCTAAAATTTAAAACACTGAAAAGTTAAAATATCCTAAAACTGAAAATTGGAGAAATCCAAACATCAAAAAATTAAAAAAATAAAAATTCGAAAATCTAAAATTTAAAAATCGAAAAACTGAAAAATCAACGAATCGATAAGTCGAAAATTGAAAAAATTGGAAAATTGAAAAATCGGATAAATCAAAAATCGAAACATCGAAAAATCGAGAATCCGAAAAGCAAAAAATCGAAAAACCAACAAATCGAAAAATCGAAACATCGTAAAATTCAAAAATTGAGACAGAGAAATCGAAAAATCAAAAGTCCAAAAAATCTAGGAGTGGAAAAATTGAAAAATTGGGAAACCGAAATAGGCCAAAAATATGGAAAAATTGATAAAGCGAGAGATTGAACAATCAAAACATCGAAACATCCGAATCTCAATAAATTGAGATCTCAAAAAATTTAAAAATTCGGAAATTTGAAAACTTAAAATATAGAACTGGAAACTCGAGAAACCGAAAAATCTAGAAATTTAACAATTAAAATAAGGAAAAGTTGAAAAATTGAGAAATTGAATTACAAAACAATTGAAAAATTGAAAATTCGAAATGTTTAAAAAATGAAAAACTGAAAATCCAAAACTAAAAAATCGAAAATCTAGAAGTCGAAAAATCAAAGAATCGAAGTATTGAAAAGTATCAAAACTGAAAGAAAATCCAAAAATTGAGAAATCGAAAAACCACTAAAGCGAAGTCGAAAAATCGAAGAATTGAAGAACTGAAAAATCGAGAGAAGTGGGAAAATCAAAAATAGAAAAATTTAAACACTGAAGAACTGAAAAGTCAAAAAATCGAGAAATCGAAAAATCTAAAATTTAAAACATTGAAAAGTTAAAATATCCTAAAACTGAAAAATGGAGAAATCCAAACATCAAAAAATCCAAAAAATAAAAATTTAAAAATAGAAATACTGAAAAATCAACGAATCGAGAAGTCGAAAATTGAAAAAATTGGAAAATTGAAAAATCGGATAAATCAAAAATCGAAACATCGAAAAATCGAGAAACCGAAAAGCAAAAAATCGAAAAACCAACGAATCGAAACATCGTAAAATTCAAAAATTGAGACATCGAGAAATCGAAAAAAAAATCTAGGAGTGGAAAAATTGAAAAATTGGGAAACCGAACAATCAAAACATCGAAACATCCGAATCTCAACAAATTGAGATCTCAAAAAATTTAAAAATTCGGAAATTTGAAAAATTAAAATATAGAACTGGAAACTCGAGAAACCGAAAAATCCAGAAATTTAAAAATTAAAATATGGAAAAGTTGAAAAATTGAGAAATTGAAATATAAAACAATCGAAAGTATAAAAAATGAAAAACTGAAAATCCAAAAATAAAAAATCGAAAATTTAGAAGTCGAAAAATCAAAGAATCGAAGTATTGAAAAGTATCAAAACTGAAAGAAAATCCAAAAATTGAGAAATCGA